AAAACTCCCTTCTAACAGGAAGAAACCTCCAGCAGAACCAGGCTCAGTGTGAGCGGCCATCTGCTGAGGCCCACTGGGGTTCAAGGAGACAAAAGCAGACATAGAAAAGGCAACTGTAAAAGGCGGCCCCGTCCAGGAAACACACAGCCAGGCAGACGAGCTCCGAGCCAGCTCCCATGTCAGTGGATGAAGAGAGCACATCCAGTTAGTGTCATGATGGATCTCTGTGCTTAAACCTGCACGCAGAACACCAAACGAAGCAGGGTAAAAGTTAAACAGTTTATTAATGAATGGCACACACTGAGTAAACAAAGCACTGGTTCTGGTACTGGTCCGGGACTTGGTTTCACAGAGAATTCTGGAGAGGTTCAGACTGATCAGTGGGGAGAAGGAACCGGTTGGGTCCAGAGACTGTGGTTCCAGCAGAGAATTCAGCAGCAGCAGGGTTTAGCTTCAGGCTAACGAGGTTCAGACCTTGAGTTGTTCTTCTAGTCCTCCCTTGAGAACTTGTTGTAGAATTCAGACTGAGAATTTTCAGGTTTGGCTTTGCTGGGCAGGCAGGCAGGTTCCCAAGCATGAGCTCCTCCAGAGCTACAGACTTCAGTCGGGTTTTCCTGTGAGCAGAGAAGACAGAGACTGGTTAGGATCAGAGTTACTCTACAGAGCAGACAGAGATTCTAAGAGCAGGTTGTGGCTCAGGTTCTGCTAACCAAAACTGGTCAACACTCCGGTGCTGAAGACAGGTCTGGCTGCTGCTTATGTAGGAGGTCTCCTGATGGGCTGATGATCCTCAGGTGTGCAGTAGGCTCCAGCTAAGGAGACCCACAGCGCTCTCTGCTGGAGACAGGTGGCAGATCTCCAGATCCCAACAGTACCCCAGATCCCAACAGACAAAAAACATAAAAACAGGAAGGGATCCTTGGCGCCCTCTGGAGGGCAAGCCTCTGGATCTCAACAGTTAGTCACAGTCAGAAAAACAGGACTACACTGAAAAACAGGCTGATCTCCAACATCTATAAACAAAGGTGTTGATGGCAGCAGCACAGCTGATATTTCTCTCCAGGATGGAGTCACAGCCAAACAGGAACAGACCAGATGAAGCTACTATGAGAAAAAGCAGAGAGAGCAGAACGTTAGAGATTGAAGTAACAGATTCTGCAGAGTGGGAGAATAGAGATAGAATGAAGCAGAATGATGAAATAGGGGTCCCTATGTCCTCCAGCAGTCTAAGCCTATAGCAGCATAACTATAGAGATAGATCAGGATAACCTGAGCCACTCTAACTAGAAGCTTTATCAAAAAGGAAAGTTTTAAGCCTAGCCTTAAAAGTGGACAGGGTGTCTGCCTCACGGACTAAAACTGGAAGTTGGTTCCACAGGAGAGGAGCCTGAGAACTAAAAGATCTGCCTCCCATTCTACTTTTAGAAATTCTAGGAACCACTAGTAAACCTGCAGATTGAGAGCAAAGTGCTCTGTTAGGAACATAGTGCTCGTTCAGGAGCGCTGTAATGCAAAGGATGTGTTTCTATTAAACTAAGAGTGAATACAAACATCCAGTGGATGCAAAACACATTTGTGTGGAGTTAAAGAATATTACTTCTCTGTCAATTCATTTTGAGGAACGGTGGATGAGTCATTTCCAATCAAACTGTCCATCCTTTGTTCTCCTCCTGTAGCTCCAGAGCTGGTCTCAGCCAGCTATCTCCTCTGCCTGTCTCTGGTGCTCCCTGCTCGGCCTCTCGCTCTGACCTCCTGCTTGCCTCCCTATAGCGCCTCCTCGCCTTACCTCTGTTGTCAGGATAATCCGTTACCACAGACAGGACAGACAGAATTACTGCAGAGAGAGACCATAACCCAGCCGTAACTCCTGGACTCCCCAAACCACGTTAGATACTCAGCTGCTAAAATCCAGGTCTGCAATCTTGATTTAAACAGATAGGCAAGCGGATAAAGCTCCTCCTATTTGATGATTTGGTCATCGATACATGTATATATATATATATCTCACTCTTATATATATATATATATATATATATATATATATATATATATATATATATAAATCTCTGGAACCAAAAACATCTCAATGACCAGAAATAAACGCATGCATTATACATCTTCAGTGTGAGAAATCATTCTAAATGTGCTTTACTTTATAAATTGATTTGATTAAACTAACTGTTCCATAATGAATGATTTCTTTTATTGCCATTGGATATCTGCTGGTGTGGGGACTTCACCCCTGCAGGCTACCTCCTGTTTATTGATAAACCAACCCGGCAGCATGGCCCTGGGTGGAATGACAACCATGTGAGGCACAGAAAGTGACGCACGCAGACCCTGCAGGAGCCCGCGTAATGAGGCTAAAGACGCTGACACGGAGCAGCTGTCAAACTTCATATCAAGTCTCCATTTTTCCAGCTTCAGTCTGGCTTCCTCTGAACCCGAGACGCAGGGGAGCAAACGCCCTCAAAGCATCGCGTGTCCCATAAATGTGTTAGCGATCCGAGCGCCCGAGGGGTGGTGAGCTCCCAGAAGTCACAACGTGTGTTGCAGGGTCTCCTCTGACGCAAGGAAAGCTTTTAGTTGTAGTGTCTGGTGTCACTTCGATGCATAGCAACGCAAATGCTGCCTATAAATACGCTTCCCGATCCAGGCTATTTTAAACCCAATAGGGTCAAACAGAAGAGGCCAACTTCCTTTCAGTATTGGAGACAAAATAAAGTTACTGGGTTTACATGGAATGATGGACTTTCCAGTTAGTTACAATCAGTTAATGGTTTACAAAATTTTACTTACATGCTTATTTAATGTAGTTTTCCCAAAAAAACAACTATTTACTGGACTTTATTTCCAAGATTAAAGATGTTTCGCTTCCCATCCAGGAAGCTTTTTCAATTCAAAAATGTAATTAAAAAAAATATATTTGTATTTGTAAATATTTGTAAATAAATATTTGTACATAAAGTTTTCCTTTAAAAAATGTTTACATTTTTCATGGCATAGATTCAATAAGGATTCATAATCACCCTGCAGAGATTTGGGTCCATGTTAAAAAATAAATAATATCACCTGTTTTTTTTTTGTTTGTTTTTTTTTGAGATGCAGATATTTTTTACTTTTCTCTTATTTTAATTGTGAGCTTTAAAGTATTAGTTTTCTTTATACCTTTTAAGGTTATATTTTCTACTTGGAGTTTTTCTTTGTAACCATGAATCCCTCTGTAAAATCATTGTCCCCTATGTTGAGATAAACAGACGAAAGGAAGCAGCGGGTGGATGGACCCTCCTCTTTTTTTAATGGAGATGCGTTGGTTTTTGGAGCAAACATACCTTCAGGACAAGACGGTTCACAGATAATTCCACATTTTTTCTCCTAATGTTGACCTGAAACTCAAACATCACTGGTAAGTCTTTAAATTGACATGAGAAAAATGAGTAAAACTATAAAATTTTCACCAACACTGGAAAAAATTGAAATCTAGATAAGTTATTTTTTCCTAAAATAAGAGCATTTGCTCTTGGATTGAGGAGGTAAAATATATATTTTGCCAATGGAACAAGACAATTTACATTTAAAATGAGAAAGCAGTATTTTTACTCTTGAAATAACATAATTAGATAATATGCACTTGAAGTAAGACAATTCAATTGTGTTTTCTTATTTTAAGTGTAAATTGTCTTGTTCCATTGGCAAGATGTCTCTTTTGTTTCCTCAATCCAAGAAAAATTGCACTTATTTTAAGGAAAAATTAATTATCTAGATTTACATTTTTTTCCAGTGAGCTCCGCAGTGAGATGGCGCTACTCAGACTCATTTATCCAGAAGCCAAACGAGTAGAAGAGGAATATGAAGCTCACTAGAGTGAAACGCACTGCCTTGGCAATTTGTGCAATTTTGTGCCCTAAAAAGAAAAGGCGACGACGTATAGCAAACGTGGCTACTACGGTCTGTCAGTTTTACTGCACTGGAAAAACGATCTACAAAAAAGTAGAATTTTCTTAAATTAAGTTTCATTATTTTATCATTTGAGTAAGTAAATGAGGTAGTTTGCCAATGGAATGAGTATTTTTACTCTTAAAATAAGATAGATAAAATGCACTTGAAATAAGACAATGAAGTTGTGTTTTCCTTCTTTAAGAGTAAATTGTCTTGTTCCATTGGCAAAATGTCACTTTTAATTCCTCAATCCAAGAACAAATGCATTTATTTTAAGAAAAAATGTCTTATCTAGATTTGGATTTTTTAAAGTGTGAAAGAACTCCATTTCACTCGCACCCCCGCCATGCGTCTTTGTTTTCGTCTGAGAGGAAGAAGAATAATCTTCGTTTGTGCATGCGCTCTGAGCGATTTGCCCACGACCACCTTATGACGGCTGACTGAATTTCAAACATGCTTGATTTTCTCCCGACCTTACGATTCCTGATCGGGAGGCGGACATGAGAGGCTAATCCCCCCTTGATACCCCAGTACACTACACCAGGCATCCCCGACCTCGGTCCTCGAGGCCCGCTGTTTTGCAGGTTTTAGAAGGTTCCTTGCTCCAGCACATCTGATTTTAATTGAAAGCTGTTTAACAGGCTTTTGATCTACTGCAATCATTATAATCAGCTGTGCTAAAGCAGGGAAACCTCTAAAACCAGAAGGACAGCGGGCCTCGAGGACCGAGGTTGGGGATGCCTGCACTACACGACGAATGATCAGGCTCAAAGTCGACCCGATTGAAAAATTCTCACCTGATTGGAAAGAAAATCGAACCTGTATGCCCAGCTTACTCAATGTGCCTCACTGAGAACGGAGAACACAGTCTTTAAATCAGCTCAGTGACTAAAGACTTTAAGGCAACCCATAAACTATTTCATAACTTGGAGCAACTAGTCACATTTCCTCTAAGCAGGTTATTCATTACATGAAGTTGTTAGTTTCCCCTGGAGAACAATCAACGCTTCATCAGATTCATCATTAATCACCCAGGCTTCATTAAAACCAGCAGCTGGTCCTGAAATCTGCACCATGTTGGAGGATCTGTGGCTTTATTGAAAATCATCTCGTTATACATGCAATAATGATTTATTCCTCTTACATAATGAACCACAAGAATCGATTTTTATATTTAAATGTTTCCAAAGTAAAGTAAGATACGTTTCTTAACAAATAAATGTTTCATATCAAAAATTATGTGAAGGTTTAAAGTGCTTCAGAAGTAAAAATACATGAAAGGTTAAATAGTCCCAATATGCGCGCTGCTCCGGCATGTCATATACGTTTCCATTTACGCCCTCAATCCTGGGCTTTTCTTTTCCTCAATCCTTCCTGTCCCAATCAAAGCTGCCACATGCGGCCGCGGATTAATGGAGGACTTCCTCTCCACCGCTGAGCCCAGTGGTAATTCATTTTAATTGTGATACATTCCTCCTGGCTGTGTTCCCGGCCATCCAGATGCTCGTCGTCTGTTTGACAAATAAACCTCTGACTCTGTCTTCAAAGCCTTCAGTTCCTGGCCTGCTGTCGGAGCGTTTTTACAGATCAGAAATGCGGTGATGTCTAATTACATTCCTGGGAGTCCCCCTTTATGCGGATTCAGGAGATCAGGTTCATGTAAAAATGCTCCTCTGGTTGGTGACCAGGACAGTCTGACTCTCGCGTCGCCTCTCCTTCTTCCTCTCCAGTCTCACCTTCCAGCACACGGCGCTGGACGCCAGCAGAACCAGTCCGGCTGAAAGGAGCACCAGGCCGAAGTAAGAGATGGTGGATCCGTGTGAGTTGAAGCTGTACGCCACTGCGGTGACCACGATGCCGGCGATGAGGACCACCACGCCGAACGGGATGGTGCAGCGGTAGCAGGACAGTTCCGTGCCCCCCGTGGCTGCGGTGAGCTGGACCTCATTGACCAGGGGGATGTTTACTGTCGTCATGGCAATGGGCGGGCGCTCAGCGGCTTTGGGCTTCCCCGAGGACGCTGGCGTTTTCATCGTGTCCTTGTTGAGTTCCTCTGGCATGGCAGGGTGAGGATCCAGCTGCTCTGCGTTAACCAGCTACAGATGGCTCCCTTTTGTTGCCCTCTTTCCCACGTCAGGGTCTCCCAGTCTGAGGAGGAACAAACCGAACAGTAAACAAATCAGCGGGAAAAAAAAGTCAAAAGGTCAACTGCAGTTGCTCAACGCAACAGAGAAGACGGCCGTGCAGATGTTTCTGGTTTGATTTCCACATCATGTTTCACAATTCACCAGCATTCACCGCATGCTGCTTCAATAAACCAATGTAACCTCTTTGCACAATCCAGACCGCCTCTTAACCCAGTCAGGGGAGAATGACGCAGGTCCACTCAGCCCCTCATGAGCTGAGACATTCCCTGGAGAGCGCAGGATACGGAGCGCTCGCTGAAACGCTAGAAGCTTTGAAAATACAAGCAGTTTCACAACCGTCCCCCCCCCCCCCCTTCCTCCTGTCGGCATGTTTTTGTGATTCAGATGCCGAGGGACAAACATCGGAGGGAGAAACTGGCTTTGGGACAGCTGGATGCTGCAGGAGGTCATCTTTCTGATCCAGAACAGAATCACTGCTTTTAGAAAGGTACTTCCTAGCTGGCTCTTGTTTGGATTCTTGGTTCTGGACTTTAGCATCAGGATTAAAACTTAAGCTCTCATTGACGTTCCTGACCCATAGATTTGGGAGTTCAACATTCCAACATGTGAGCTGATCTGCTGAAATGGAGGGAATAAAGCATTGAATGTAAATAAATGTTTATTTTTTTGTCATCTAAACATCTGTTTGTAAGCAGCTGGTCGAGGATGTGGAAGCAGCACTGAGTGTGTTTCTCTATATTCTCTGAGAGTTCAGCGGTGCTACGACCCCAAATTTTAACCACTGCACACCACAGATCTTCACAGGTCTCTGGTGTGGCCCAAGTCTCTAAAGACTCAAAGGAAATTCTCTCCTCAAATGAAAAACATCTAGTATAACATCATTTTAGAGAACTGTCAATGAAAAGGTGTGAATTTGTCAATATAAATCAATAAACTGGAATAAATTGTATATCTGCAGTTGTTCCTTGCAGTTAATTCATACATACATGTGACATCAGATTTTAATCTCCAAGAATACAAGTTTAGAAGTTTAAAAACGGTATAACCACAGGTGCGAATGTACAGTGATGGGAGTAACGGCGTTGAAAGTAACGGCGTTACTAACTCCGCTACCTTTTTTTAGTAACGAGTAATCAAAATGATTACTCTTACTGTAACTATAACGCAGTTACCATTGCCGACACCCCGTTACTGCACGTTACTCAGGTCGCACAATCAACCTTTTTTCATGATAGGACTCGTGCTCGCCTTGTCATGAGAGAGGGGAGGATGGAGAGTGAGGAGGACTCCAGCAGCAAAACAGCGTTTTCAAGATGGAAATACCGGTGTTACGTCGAGCTGCGTTTCCCCATCAGATACTGTTTCCCCTGCATCTCCGCAATAGTTACTTTTACTACTAACTAGTTACTTTTATTGTGGAGTAACTCAGTTACTAACTCAGTTACTTTTTGGGAGAAGTAACTAGTAACTATAACTAATTACTTTTTCAAAGTAACGTGCCCAACACTGCGAATGTATGAGTATAAATCTACAACCCCTTTGTGAAGCTGTTAGACTCCTTACCAGTAGGTGTCAGTAATGAACCTGAAAGTTGTTAGAACAGTAGGGAGTAAGAAGATGTCACTACCGGACCCGTCCCAGAAGCACAATCCGTCATGCGCACGCGCGAGCAGAATAATAAGATCCGGGTCGCCGAAAACAATGCAATAACGGTACTGAAAATACTTATTTATACACTTTAAATAATGCTATATACTACGCCCCCGCTTGAAAAAGACAAAAGAATTAAAAACTAAGAAAAACAAAGTATTGCCTACCCGAAAGTTATCCTGTTCTTGCATTCGCAGGACAGATCAGGATTATGGGACGGATCGGGTAGTGACATCATAAATCAGACCTTTTGTCTTTGTTAGGATTTTGCTTGATCCAATTTATTATAATTGTAGCCCCTCCCTTTTCATGGGGTTATCAGTAAGAACTCTATCCAGGGTTGAAAAGGAGCTCTGGACTATTGTGCTGAATTTGAACAGACTTCAGCTTTAACTATGCAACAGAGACGTGATGCACGCGGGTCAAATTAGGACTACATTCTTCTAATAAAGAACTTTAAAAAACAGGCTACAAAAATGTAGTAAATTGATGACATTATAAACATTTGTAGGAGGTTATGTTACCGTAAATCACACAGAGTAGACAAGAATAAATAATTTAGTTACATTCCATGAGATGAGCTGTGCCTATATGTCCTGTATGATGAGGTATTGTGGGCATCTATTAGGCTTGAGATGATGTGAAGCAAATGCTTTACGAAGAGTCTGCACGGCCATATTACATTATTTTGTACTTCCACGCCACTCCGCATGTACAGCAATGTCTGCACGGAGCGCCTAGGATAATTTGTAACTACGAAGGATGGACCTGCGTGGAAAAAATGGCCAGGGAGCTCCAAAAATGTAAACGTCTGCAGACATCCCGTGATTTAGCTTATAAATATCAACAATATCAACGCGTTGCGGAAAAGCTCCAGAATAGAAATGAATATGGCTCTTAAACGGCATGAAGAGGCTTTGATAAAGTTGTAAACAGCCGTGTTTTCTACTTCCTGGTGTTGTCAGCTTGCTGTTTTTGCTGAGTCAGATCCAGGGGAAGTATAAATCCTGCAGACGCTGTGACGTGCGGCTCGTTGCTATGTCTGTGCGTCAAGCATAATGATCCCTTTAAAGGGGCCTGATGCAGCTGTAAAAATGAAACTTTTGATTTAATCGGTTACTTCACAAAGAGCACTTTGCTTTGGTACTTGCTACCTTTACGCCCACTTATTAGGTTTAGCCAATTTAAAGACCAGATTTAATGACATGATGAGCCTTTTGGCTCTTGAGGGCCAGATAAATGACTGTTATGGATCAGATTTGGCACTAGGGGCTTTGCTTTAACACATGATGCAAATAGAGGAAGATAAGGAAATGTCAGCTTCCCCAAATATCGGCAGCACATATTAGGGATCGGTTAGACTGATATCAGAGTAATTGGTAACACCATCCGCCTTACAAAAACAATATCAGTCAATCTCTGAGCTGGTCAGTTAAACCCAAGTTGCAATCTCTAGTGCAGAACTGGTACCAGCATCTGGACAGTCCCAAATATGGTTCGAACGCATCTAAAAAAAAAACAAAAAACTAAGCTTCTTTGGACGTTTGAGAAAGTTTACCATTTGTTTAGCAGACTGGACTAAATCCATGTTTGGACACAATGAAGAACCGACCCTCTGCTATTAATGCCCCAATTTGTCAACCGGTTGGAAATACTCTGCTAAAATTAGGCTCTGCTGATGGAAAATCATAAATAATTCTTGTTATTATTCTGGATTATTAGGAAAAGGCTTTGCTTATCAAGCATAAACATCAACGTGTGGAGTTTACTAAACGGTAACTAGAACATCAACAGGTAAAGCAGTGTGATGCTGCGGGCCTCTTAAGAGGGCTGTGGTTTGCAAACTTTTTGACATCTCCCCCTGACAGAAACCAGAAATAAGTCTCATCGCTGGATCTTTGAAGGGTTATAGCTCCAAATATGAGCAAAATCCAAACAGAAACAGGAAAGCAGAAACAAAACCTTACTGTGAAAAAAGATGTTTGAGAGATTTTGACTCATAAAATGTTTGGTTTCTACAAATAAAGAAATGTAAAATCTGCAACACATTTTAATTATCTATATAAAGAATACAAAGTTTTAAAAAGTTCCAAATGGAGGGAGCTGCATGGTTTGAGTCATTCTCCACTATCTGTCCACAATAAGCATTAAAAACTAAATTATTAAAAGCTTGTTTAACATATTTTTTGCTTACACGCTCCTTTTAATTGTATATATTAAATAACAGCTGTTTAGATTTTCTCAGCAAGTTAAGTTATTGAATTATTTTAGGTTTTCTTATTAAAAAAAAGTACTGTTGTTAAATACCTGGAAAGTTGATTAAAAACAAATATGCACAAAATAATGGAAATCAGAGAAATGTTATTTAGATTAAAGCAAATAAACATTTTAAATCAGATTAAAGTTTTATCTTGTATGAGCAGCATTTTAATCTCAAAATCAATTCAATGTATTTATAAATATCCACAGATGTTATAAAATCCTCTTTTAAAAAGTAATTTTCTCCAGATATGTGAAAATAAACAGATTCTGCTACAATAAAATCATATAAAATAAAATAAAAGGTTGCTGGAAGTGGATTGAACTCATCCCGAGTTTAACCAACTGCTCATTATTAAAGGATAAGGAAAATAAAAACACAGAGAAATGATGAAGAATTATTACCTCATGAGTTTTTTTCCAACCCGTTGCACTAAAAGATGTTTTTAAGTAAATTAAATCGGATCTGCAGAGTTGTGGTTCGGTCCGGGCTGTGATAAAGCCAGCGGCTGCACTGCCATCCTCACTGCAGAGGGCCCAGTCTAGTATAGGGGTCTGCATTAAGCCCACAGCTGTAGGGGGCAGGCAAACTTCCTGTTTGGGTTTTTCAAAATAAAATAAATCAAAGGCGTTTTGGGTCAAATTTTGTCATTTTCATTTTCCTCAATTTAAGGAGTTTAAAAACACTAAAATTACCTGTTTTAAGTCATTTGGGAGAAGTGGTGTCAAAAGTACACACAGTTGTTACTTAAGTAGAAGTATAGATACTGCAGTTTAAAAACAATCTGGTAAAAGTTGAAGTATCAACTTGACCTCTTTACTCAAGTAAAAGTGAAAAAGTATGTGCTCCAAAAACTACTTAAAGTATTAAAGTAAAAAGTAACCTTTAAAAAAAACAAACAAAACAGATGCCACTATATGAACTGAAAGCTAAATTTTTCAGCTATTTAGAAAAATTCTTTGAGATAGGGCCAAGGATGAGGGAGGTCTTGTTGGTCTCCGTCTCCCGATACGCTCTCGCCTGTGTCCGACCTTTCAGACATTTCAACATCTTTATCTGAATCCCACATTGTAGCATGGCATAGACAATTCACGTTAGCAGTTTGAAGAACACCTGCTTGCTTCTGATGATTTCCTTTAGCTAACCAATGAGTGTTTGCGTTCTATGACTCATCCAATCACACTAGTTTTCACTAGATGTGGATGGAGCCAATGATCTGCATTGGATGGAGCACATGAACTGAAATAAATACTTATGTTATTTAACTGACTAAGATAGAAACTCTGCAAAATCAGCATGAATGTAACAACTTATTGAGGTTGTTGGGAAGAGTGGTGGTTATAGTCTTCCAGCTGCTGGAAGGAAGGATCTGTGATAATGCTCCCTGGTGCATTTAAGGTGCAGCAGTCTGTCACTGAAGCTTGCTTTTCATCTGAGGGAAAATCCTAACAAACCGTTAGAGGACTGTTCAGGCAAACCCCAAACTCTGCTCTCAGGAGGTGAGTAAATGAACCTGCATGTAAGTAGTGAGCCTGTTTGATTCATTTTGGGTCCAATTTCCACATGCCTGCAAGTTTAAAAGTTAAATTAAACAGTAGTTGCATGTACTGTAGGTATATACAGCAGGAGATGTGCAAACATCGTACTGTTCTAGAAGGGACAGAACGTGTCTCCGAGAGTTGAAGAAGTTTTAGAATAGAATAGAAAATGTTTTTTATTGTCCCACAATGGGGAAAATTTGGTGTTTACAGCAGCAAAAAGAGTGTAGAAAAAAATGGTGACACAAATATGGACCCTAGAAAAGTGTATAAGAATTACATAATAGTGAAGAGTTTAAAAAATAAACAAACAAATATTGTACAAAATGTACAACCACTAAACAAATACTAAAGAGTTTATTTCTATATCACCAATTCACATCAAATGCATTAAAGAAAATATTGCACAGTAAAAAAAAGCTGATTTTTTTCTATCTCTCTGTCTTTTGTGTTTTTTAGTCTGTCTTTTGGGCGGTTTTACTATTTTCTTCCTTCCACCAAACTTTCCATCATTATGTTTGGACGCAGTACGCTGTGATCCTTTGGTATAGATCTTTTACATTTTTTGTAGAAATCGTGTACTTTGCTACAATATTCTAAACATTTTTATTAGGGGTTTTTATTGGCTGTCAGCCATAATCTCAGGATGAGCCGAGAGTGGAGGCGTTTTATTTTGGTATTTCCAGGCGGAAGTTGCGTGTTTGTTTTGCTGTTTTTTTTTTTCCTTCTGGCTGACAGCTCAGCTGACCGGCCGCTGTCAGAAGAGCTGAGCCGTCATGTCGCTGCAGTTCACAGATGAGGAGTTTCAGAGCGCCTGGAAGGAGCTGGACGCTCCGCAGCTGGACGGAGGCTGGGAGCTCTTCACCGAGACCATGGGGGTCCAGATCCACCGGCTCTACGATAAGGTAGGAGAACCTGAGGATGGATGCATGGAGGGAAGGAGGGGGGTTAACGCACATCCTCATCCCTGTCCTCCTGGATCAGCATCAGATTTCCATAGATGCTTTTATTTCTAACCAACTCTTCAGCAGTGACGTCCTACCGGCCAGAGGTGGAAAAACCCGGAAACTGGAGAACCATGAGCTGCTGGTAGACATCCACTAACCGGTTCTGTAGGTTTCCTGCAGCAACAGAATTTGTTCTGACTCATTTCCACTGGATAAGCAGGCTTTGGGACAAAATTACCATTATGGAACATTTTTAGAATTCCCACTTCTTTCACAAAAAGTTTTTTTTTCCTTTAACAACATATTTGCTTTGGAAGAGGATTAGGGCCACTGAAAAAAAGAGTTAACTGATTTTTAAATTTTATTTCAGTTTAACATGGGGATTCTGATCTCAGAATTCTGACTTTAATCTCAGAATTTTGTCTTTTTTCTCAGAATTCTGACTTTAATCTCAGAATTCTGACTTTAATCTCAGAATTCTGACTTTTTTTCTCAGAATTCTGACTTTAATCTCAGAATTCTGACTTTAATCTCAGAATTCTGACTTTTTTTCTCAGAATTCTGACTTTAATCTCAGAATTCTGACTTTAATCTCAGAATTTTGTCTTTTTTCTCAGAATTCTGACTTTAATCTCAGAATTCTGACTTTAATCTCAGAATTCTGACTTTTTTTCTCAGAATTCTGACTTTAATCTCAGAATTCTGACTTTAATCTCAGAATTCTGACTTTAATCTCAGAATTCTGACTTTTTTTCTCAGAATTCTGACTTTAATCTCAGAATTCTGACTTTTTTTATTGTCAGAATTCAGTCAGAATTCTGAGATTAAAGTCAGAATTCTGAGAAAAAAAGTCAGAATTCTGAGATTAAAGTCAGAATTCTGAGATTAAAGTCAGAATTCTGAGAAAAAAAGTCAGAATTCTGAGATTAAAGTCAGAATTCTGACTTTTTTCTCAGAATTCTGACTTTTTTCCCGTACTAAACTGAAATAAAATGTAAAAATAAGTTAACTTTTTTTTTTTTCCCACTGGCCCTAATCCTCTTCCGTAATTTTCTCATTAATTTCAAACAAACAAAACATTGTGCATAGTATTTTTGTCATTTTAGAGAACCACAGTATTATCTGGGTTTTTTTTTTAGGTAAAAAAAAAAAGGATGGTTAATCTTCAAAAGGATGTTCATATTTTTCAACTTTATTTAAAAAGAAAAAAAAGAAGTACCTTCATTGTCACTCTGGAAAAAAAAAGCCTGCCTTTTTTAATAAAAAAAAAAAAAAAAAAATTGATGCTGTATAATTTTTTGCAATCGTTATTAACGAGGGATCCTGTGTTAGAGGCAGCTCCAGAATAACATGTTGCAGAAATTTAATTTCTGAATTGTTTGGGATTGAATGTTTGCTCCTCAGCTATTCAGATGATCGGAAAAAAACAGAAATCTAAATCTGGAGAAGAATGTCTATCTTGCGACAGGGGCGAGGTGGCTGTAAGCGAGACCCAGGGGCGTTCCTGAATGGCTGACGGTCTGTTCCACGCCCAAAAGGCTGTTGGTTAAATTACACTGCAATTAATTTAAAAATATAGAATTCAAATCAGAAGTAGTCACTGTATAGCCATTTCATTAGGCCAATGCTACTTATTCGTCCGATTCAATAAAAACATCTTATTTGTCAGTATATCTATTGTCTGGCAGTTGGATGAGCCAGTTCCATAAACTAAGCACCTCAAACTGCCTGTTTAGCAGTGCATTTATAAATGCCTAAAAAAAATATGACTGCTTTATTTTGAATGGCGTGTATAGGTCTGTATAAGTAATTAATCTGCTTAATCAATTTAAATTAAACCCACACTGACTGACCAGAAAAAGGCAAACATTTGTTTATTTCAGTAAAAAACACATCAGCAGAGTCAGCGTTCAAATTTAAGACAGTTTTAAAATAAACATGCACTGTGTCTTTAAAGTGTCTGCTTTAAAGACACGTGGTTCCGGATACCCTGATCTATCTCTATAGTTATGCTGCTATAATTCAATTCAATTCAATTCAGTTTATTTATATAGCGCCAAATTCACAACACATGTCATCTCAAGGCACTTTACAGTTCAACCAGATCATACAGTCAAATTGATACAAAGTTTTCTATCTAAGGAAAACCAGTTGATTGCATTGACTCATTGACTCAAATACAATCCCCCACACTAAGCATGCTTGTAGCGACAGTGGAGAGGAAAAACTCCCTTTTAACAGGAAGAAACCTCCAGCAGAACCAGGCTCAGTGTGAGCGGCCATCTGCCGAGGCCGACTGGGGTTCAAGGAGACAGAAGCAGAGATACAAAAAGCAGCTGTAAAAGGCGGCCCCGTCCAGGAAACACACAGCCAGGCAGACGAGCTCCAAGGCAGCTCCCATGCCAGAGGACGAAGAGAGCACATCCACTCAGTCACGGTCAGAGAAACAGGACCACACTGGAAAACAGGCCGATCTCCAACATCTATTAACAAGGGTGTTGATAGAAGCAGCACAGCTGATGTTTTTTTCCAGGATGACGTCACAGCCAAACAGGAACAGACGAGGCAAAGCTACTCTGAGGAAAAGCAGAGAGAGCAGAAGGTTAGAGATTGAACTAACAGATTCTGCAGAATAGGAGAACAGAGAGAGAATGAAGCAGAATGATGAAATGGGGGTCCCTATGTCCTCCAAAAGTCTAAGCCTATAGCAACATAACTATAGAGATAGCTCAGGATAACCTGAGCCACCCTAACTATAAGCTTTATCAAAAAGGAAAGTTTTAAGCCTAGCCTTAAAAGTAGACAGGGTGTCTGCCTCACGGACTAAAACTGGTAGTTGGTTCCACAGGAGAGGAGCCTGATAACTAAAAGATCTGCCTCCCATTCTACTTTTAGAAATTCTAGGAACGATTAGTAAACCTGCAGATTGAGAGCGAAGTGCTCTGTTAGGAACATAAGGAACAATCAGATCTCTGATATAAGATGGAGCTTGGCCATTTAAGGCTTTATATGTGAGAAGGAGGATTTTAAATTCTATTCTTGATTTAACAGGAAGCCAATGAAGAGAAGCCAGGATAGGAGAGATATGATCTCTCTTTTTCATTTTCATTAGAACTCTGGCTGCAGCATTTTGGATCAGCTGAAGGCTTTTAACTACAGTTTGTGGACTTCCTGATAGTAAAGAATTACAATAGTCCAGCCTTGAAGTAACAAATGCATGGACTAGTTTCTCAGCATCACCCCTGGACAGGATATTTCTAATTTTTGCAATGTTCCTCAGATGAAAGAAGGAAATTCTAGAAACCTCTTTGATATGGGATTTAAATGACAGGTCCTGATCAAAAACAACACCAAGATTTTTTACTTTATTATCTGAAATCAGTTTAATCCCATCCAAATGAAGTGACTGGCTAATCAGTTTCTTTTTCAGAGACTCTGGTCCAAAGACTATAACTTCTGTTTTATCTGCATTCAGAAGCAGAAAGTTAAGAGTCATCCAGGTTTTTATGTCTTCAAGACATGCCTGTAATCTATGTAATGGGTTAGCTTCATCTGGATTTATAGACAGATATAGCTGGGTATCATCAGCATAACAGTGGAAATTAATCCCATGCTGTCTAATAATTCTACCAATTGGGAGCATGTATAAAGTAAAGAGAATTGGTCCTAGCACTGATCCCTGTGGTACTCCACAGGTAACCTTTGAGCATGTTGAAGATCTATCATTAACATGAACAAACTGAATTCGATCAGATAGATAAGATTTAAACCAGTCTAGTGCTGTTCCTTTAATTCCAACAAAATATTCAAGTCTTTCTAAAAGAATATTATGGTCAACTGTATCAAATGCAGCACTAAGATCCAACAGGACGAGCACAGATACAAGTCCATTATCTGAGGCCATGAGAATATCATTAGTGACTTTCACCAGAGCTGTTTCAGTGCTATGATGAGCTAAACTAAGGCTTAGGCTGCTGGAGGACAGAGGGACAACTTTTCATCATTCTACTTAATTCTACTTAATTCTATCTCTCTCGTACAATTCTGCATTATTTGTTGATTTAACCCCTAACTTTATGTTATTTCTTTCTATTACCTCAAAACAACAACTTGTAAGTTGAGTAACTCACCTACGATGATTGTGCGAGTGGTGCTTTCCTTATGGTTTTTATTTTGTATTTGAGTTCTAACACTGACATCTATTATGTTTATAATCCTTCCTGTTAATTCCATAAGTAGGCCCTCGATAGTCAAGCCGAAGAGTCGATGCACGATGGAGCAGATGGAGCTTCAGTGTGCAGGACTAGATTTATTTTTGTATACACTCTGTGTTTACAAAATGACACTAAAGTCTGTCTAAGTCTAGGTCTAAGTCTAGGATTAGATTGGAAATAGGTCTGTTCATAGAATAATATTACTGTCATTTATAATTACATAGACATGTTGTTTTAGAAAAACAGATTGGTTTTAAACTGCTAATACAGTGTTTATACATAAAATCATGGTTGTATATGATGAAATAAATGACAATAAAAGTAGTCTTAGTCTAAATAAAAACCTCTCTAAACTATCTGCCAGGCTGAATTAGAACCTCCAGCCTCCTCCTGACCTTTAGCAGTCATTCTGCAAAAACAATCTGCTAAGAATCTCCAGTTGTTTTATTATGACAATAAATGTTTCTGTATAATCTTTGGCCAGATTTAGTAATACACTGTTATGTTAGGTCCAAAGAGTACGGAAGAGGATTAGGGCCACTAAAAAAAAAAAAAAAAAAATTGTTAACTGATTTTTAAATTTTATTTCAGTTTAACATCTCAGAATTCTGACTGTAATCTCAGAATACTGATTTTTTCTCAGAATTCTGACAGCTAACAAACATGTTAGCATCAATCCATAGCCATGTCTGTTTTAGAGACTAGCTCTCTTGTTTTAATGACCTTCTGCTCCTCCATTAATGG